GGTGGGGTGGGGTGGGGGGCGGGGCGGGGCGAGGAAGGGGCGTGCGAGTGGGTCGGGGTAAGGCGGGGCCTGTGCGGGAGGATATGAGGGGTGGGGAGAGGTGAGGGGTGGGCAGAGGAATGATGGAAAGAACTGCCGACTGACGCCCATGGACCCAGGCTGCCGCTCCGCCCCCCCTTAGCCGTGCCAGACGCCGATCGGCGCGGGCCCTGGCGGCGAAGAAAAAAGGCAGCCGCGAGTGGAGAGAGACGAGAGCGAGCTGGACATGGACAAGAGAACGCGCCACGACCCACCTTTCCGTCGGGGCGATCTCCTATAGGGCGCACGCCTGGGCAGGCGCAGCCAACCATATTGACAGAAGGATGCTTGCCCCCCGCCAAGGCTTGAAAACTCCAATGCAATACCTGCCAAATCTCCAAGAACGTGTCTTTGCCCCCGTGCTTTTTTCTCCTTCGTCAAGGTGCTTAGGGGCCAGGATATCAAGTTCATCGTGAGGCCCTTTGTGGAGCCAGCACCCAATAAACCTGTGGCACTTAACGACACTAATGAGTCTCTGGTAAGGAACTCTGCACCATCTCCATGAATCCTCAACGGCACGCACGTGGACGCACGGTCCCTGATGCCCCATACTGGGTGGCCACGTAACCGTCGGTCTTCCCTGTGGTATTTATTGTTACTGTGCAGATGCGTTTCCAGCTGTAGACTGCAACGCGGCACGCCCGCCCACCCCTCGCCCTCCACCGCCAGCGACTCGCACCCCCAACCTTTGCCCAAATCTCAGTTGAGGAGTACATTGGGGAAGGCAAAGGTCGCGGGGCGGGTTGGGGGGGAGGTGAGGGGAGGGGCGGGGGTGGAGGGGCGGGGACCGAGGGGCTTTACATTCCCGAAAAAAAAAACACATCCTGGAGGCGTTGTCCCAGAAATCCCTCAGGCGCTCAATCCCGAAGATCTCCTGGAACTCCGCGGGATGCCGATGATATAGCGCAGAAAACCATTCATGGGGGAGCAGTGCCGCAGCGGACGCTTCAGTAGGCTGCGTGGTTTTGGGGTCGATGCAGGACACGGGGAACACCAGGGGTTCAGGCAGCCAGTTCTTACCCAGGAAGGTCGTGAGCTGCCCGTGGATGTTTCCTGGGTAGTGACCCCAGGAGCCCAGCGACGCTAGATGTGAAATCTCACGATGTCTTAAGCCGTCCCGATATGCAGCCATCGCGATGCGCTGGACGTCCGTGGCGGCCACGAGGCCCCAGCACCATTGTTTGAGAAGGTGCGTCCCGAGGTTGGAATACTCAGAATCTGGAGGGCGAGGCGGCTCATCCCCGCCGGCGCCCCCGAGGGGTGCTTCCAACCGACGTTTATGCCCCCGCTTGACCATCGAGGAAAATCACGGGGCCGCGGGGGAGAGGGGGGCGTTCTCGGCACTTCGAGCCCGAACGCTTCTATGCATGACCGACGTGGCGGGGATCGGCGAAGGTGAATGGACGGGCCGAGGGGCGAGAAGAAGCAAGAGCGATCGCCATTGCGATCTCACGGCGCACTGGTTGCGATGGCAGGCTCGCGCGAGCAGCAATGCAGACCGACTCGCGGGAGACCAGCGTTGCCCGACGGCGTGGCAGCGTTGGCTTGAACGAGAGCGCGGGTCTGACCAGGTCCGAGACTGGAAACCCACGAGCGTTGTCGGACTACGCCCTGGCGCATTCCTTCAACGGAAGGAATGCACCGAGGCGTAGTCCGAAACCATCGCACCAGTTTTACATAAGAAACGAGCCCCACGACTGCGTTCAAGCGACGCCTGGCGATGAGATGCCGCTGTCGGTCGGCACTACTGTCGGCCCAGCAGCGCCTGCGCAGACTGGCGACGCCGTCGCCCGCAGCTACCGTCCACGGTAGCCCGTTAAAGCACGCGCACGCCGCGCGGGCAAGCCGAGCGCAGCCCAGAGCCAGCGTCAGGATTACAAATCTGGATGCAAGGCCCTCTTTCTCTCCAGGATTGGCGGGCGCGCAGAGGCAGACGAACCGCCGACGCCGATCTCGGTGCCCGAGGGATGCAACGGTACGCTGCATAAACTAAACATCATGGCCTTGGGGCACCTGCTTGGAGGGCAGATGCGCTCTGGGCTGCGGGGGCTGGGTGCTTGGCCTACTGCAAGATGATCAGCTCGCAGGCTTTCTGGAACATCCCGACGCCCGCGCCCACGAGCTTCTTGGCCTTCTCTAAGTCCAGGTTGTCTGACACCAGCGTGCTCGAGATGTGCGCCACCAGGGTCTGGAGCGCCTCCATCACCTGTCTGATGCGTGACCAAAAAAAACTCCCCCCCTTCGTCGTTCGCCCTCACCGCCAGTCCTCTCCAATCCAACCCCCCCTTCAAGTCCGATCCGGATCCCCCCCTCCCCAGGGAGGAGGGGGGGGAAGGGGGGTGGGTGGGGGGCGGGGGTGTCGGACGATGGGCTGCAATGGGATAGGGGTATTGGTCCGATCAGAACCTCTTGCCCCCCGTTGAACCTTCCCCCATCGTCCTCCCCCTACTCCTCCTGCTCCCATCTCCATAGTGCACGTGCACCCTTACGTCAAACAAAAGCATATGGGCATTTGTTTTACGTAAGGGGGCACGCGTGCGATGGGGGCACGCGTGCGCTGGAGATGGGAGAAGGAGGAGTAGGAGGGGGGCGAGGGGGAAGAGGGCGACGACGGGGCGAAGGAGGAGCAGCAACAACATGTGGCCAGACTGGGGGTGGGGAAGATGAGGAGAAACATGAGGAGGAGGCAGCGGGAAAAGGGCGAGAAGGATGGATGAGGACGAGGAGGATTCTTGGGATGAGCACGGGCCTTCTTGCCAGCCTCGATGTCTTTGGCCGCGAACGTTCCCTCGTTGCGATTGGCAATGCGGATGATGCCCTGCAGCGCTGTTGCCGACTCCTCTCGGACGGTTAGCGAGAGGCGGAGGGCGGTGAGGGCGGCAAAGGGGATGGAGACGGGTGGGTGGATCCCTCCCCTCTCCATTTTTTCGCCCTATCCTTCCTCCCCCCCCACCGCCCTCTCTCTCCTTCCACCTTCCCTTCGTCGCCCAAACCCGATCTCTCACTCTCCTCCTGAAGGGGGGGGGGGGGGGCGAGGGATCGCGCTCGGGCGACGAGGGGGGGGCGGGAGGGACGGGGGACTGCAAGAGGAGAGGGGAGGGGGGATGGGGAGAAGGATGAGGGCATCGGAGGTGCGACGGGGGAACGGGCAGAGGCGCGGGGGAGCAGGAGAGAAGGAGGGGGCAGAGGGGAGGTCGAGGAAGAGGGTGGAGAACAACAAAGAGAAGGACTGTCTCCTTGGAGCACGCCTCGACCTTCTCGAGAATCTCAACCCCCTTGGCCGCGGACTTGATGTCCGTCACCTTCAGGCCCTTCATGATGTCGTAGTTTTTGTTGAAGGTCTTCTGGTGTTTCTTGCTGTCCTTGACCTGGGCTGTCGGGGGGGGGGATCGGCCCACCGAGGGGGCGCGGTCGTGGCCTGGGACACGCCGCGGCCTTTGTGGCCGAGCCTCTTACTTCGGGCGTGCACGCTTGACTTTGCAGGCTTTGGGGGGCTTAATGGGCCCCCCGAGGGCCAAAGTTTGGCAGATGCATTCGGTGGCTGCGCGCCGAAAAATCAAAAACAAGAAAAACAAAACAAAACAAAAAAAAAAACACTATATACCATGTAATAGTTCGGATACGTGGTACACATATGTCAGGCAAATTAGATAGCTGACTCACATTCTATATATTTGTATATATACATATATATTGCATGTACGTAACTATATGTATACAAATGTACATTCAAATGTTTACATACATATATATATATGCATATTATATCCAACACGCACGCACACACGCTGGGCCCCGAGAGAATGGGCGTGAATGCCGCTCTACCAGACAGCGCGGGGCACTGTGCGCTCACGGGACTGGGGGAGCAGGCACAAGATGCCGCTTGCCCCCCTCGATTGGCTGTAAGAAAGGAGGTATTCAAGCGGCTAAGAAGGGTGCGGACAGAACCGACAAGCCCTCCGAAGCCCGAGAACACGCTCCCCCAGTCAATATCCCCAGTGGCAAGGCCTCGGCCGATTGGCACTCAGTGTGGCGCGGCCTCGTGCCCCACCGCGATGCGCGGGCTAATGCGCTTGTCGCGGCGGGGTTCTTGGGCGCGCATGACAAAAGAATCGCAGCAGTCGGGGGGGGGGGGGGGGCAGGACGGGGGGGCGGAGCCACGGGAAGAACCATGAGCGAAAGGGGGAGAGGGAGAGGGGCGGGTCTCCCTGAGTCGGGAATCATGAACGGGGCGGGGGCAAGAGAAGGGAGAAGGGAAAGGAGGGGGAGCGGGAAAGGAGGGAATCATGAAAGGGTGCGGGGGCGGGGCCGTGGATCGGGCCTCTCCGAGTCGGCGGGGGCGCAGGAAAGGGCGGAGGGATCGTGGGACAGAAGGGGGCCGAACGTTTCAGATATATCGGGCACGAGGGGCGATCTCGCACAGCGAGCTTCCGAGGCAACTGCCACGCCGCTGCCGCGACCGCCGCCGCGCCCGCCGCGGCCCCTGGTCGACCCAGAGCCGCGATCTCCCTCGAGCGCTCGCGCGTTGAGCAAGTCCAGGCCCATGTGGCTCATGCTGCCTGGGGCGTCCAGAGCGGGGCAGCGCGGGCGATGGGGGAGGGGCAGAGACGGGCGACGACTGAGAGAGGACGATGGGGTCGAGACGGAGCGAGGAAGGATGAGGGGGGAGGAGGAGCAACGATGGAGGAGAAAGGAGGAGGAGGGAACGTGAGGGTGGATGAGGGGTCTCCCATTATCTTCCAAATCCCCTCTTCCTCATCCCTCCTTTCTCCATCCGCCATCCGTCCACTCCTTCCCCCTGCCCCTCTTCCCTCCTCTCTTCCCTCTTCTCTCCCCCTGTCGTCCCATCCGTCCTCCTCCCTCTTCTCTCCCTTCTCCTCCCTCCCTCCCCCCTCCTTCACAGTCGTCGGTTCGTTTGCCACTAGTGCCGTAAGCAGCCAAGTCGCTAGACAACTGCAGGCCGCCCATCCCCTCGGCCATGCTGCTGAAGTCGTCGGCGCTCAGAGCCTTCGAGGCCTTGCCGCCCTGCTCCCTGCTGCGAGTGACTGCCCGCGACTTCTTGTCGCGAACGATGCAATACTGGTTGCGCCTCGGGTTCTGGGGGTTCGGGCGCACCTGGGGGCGGCAACCGTGCGCGGACGGCGATCAGGGGCCAGGGCGATGGTGAGGAATGATTGGGAATGGGTGGGGGTTGAAAGGAGGAGGGGGGCGGGCAGGGCGCGAGGCAGGGCAGGGCGCAATGCTGGGGCAGGGGGGGAAGGGGAGAGATGAGGGGCAGGGCGCGAGGAGGAGGAGGATGGGGAGGATGGGGAAAAGGAGGAGGAGGATGAGGAGGAAGAGGAGGAGGAAGAGGAGGAGGAGAACGGCGCGGGGATCGAATCGACCACCAACACGTCATCACCACCTCTCCTCCTCAACATCCCCTTCCCGCCTGGGGGTCATACAGCTCCTCACTATCCTCATCCAACACTTGTCTCACCATCATCATCACCATTGCTCATATGTTGGTGCAATCACACCTTGATTCGCTCATCTCGGATCATCTCCTCGGCCTCGCTGCTGCTGAACTCGTCCTTGAGCTTCTTGTGGGAGACCCACTCCTCGTCCCTGTTGACCTTCTCAGAGAAGCTGATCTTGTGAGAGATCTCGAGGAAGCGCTGGCCGAGATCTGGGTCCTCGAGGTAGGCCATCAAGAGCTGCGCCTTCGTCTCCGTCTTCTTGCCAGCAACGCTCGCCTGCGCCTGGGCCGATGCTGGGCGGCACGGGGAGGGGGGTGATTTGCGGTGAGGGGGAGAGAGAGAGAGAGAGAGAGAGAGAGAGAGAGAGAGAGAGAGAGAGAGAGAGAGAGAGAGAGAGAGAGAGAGAGAGAGAAAGCGAGAGAGAGAGAGAGAGAGAGAGGGAGGGAGAGACGAGACGAGAGAGAGAGAGAGAGAGAGAAAGGGAGAGGAGAGAGAGAGAGAGAGAGAGAGAGAGAGAGAGAGAGAGAGAGATAGGGGGGTGGCAGAGGTGCCCACTAACATGCATGGACATGGTCATGCTCGCGCTGGCTTGGGGGTTGATCTCGGCGACGTCTGACACTTGCGCTACGAGCGCCATCGCGGCGAACCGCCTCGAAACATCAGCCGCAATCCGAGCATGACCACGTCATCTGCGGGGGGGGGGGGGGGGGGGGGGGGGGGGCAGCGATGGCAGGGGGGGCAGTGGGAGATGCGGGGTGATGGCGCAGGGGGGAGGAGGACGGGGGCGTTGCTAAGGTAGTGCTTATCATGATGGTTTGGGCGAGGGCTACTGGTGCTGAGTTAACTTGATATACCCTACGCTGCCTCAGTGAACATCTCTTCTGCCTGCTCGTTCTTCTTCCTCGCATTGGCGAACCGCCCGTGCAGCGCCCTGGGCTGGAGGTGCGAACGACGTTTGGAAGAGCATACGTGGCGCGTTGGAAAGAATGGGTGAAGAGCATACTATGTGAAAATCCCACCAGCCCTCTGGGCGTCGGTGGTCCAGAGAACTCCCGTTTCAAACCCCATTCTTCCATCTCGCCACCCGCCCTTCCAATCGACATTCACACATCGCATTTGTTTGGTGAAGAATATCCTGATCTCGCTGGCGTGGAACACCGACTTCAAGTGCGACACATCTGAACTGTCAGCATGGGCGGTGAATAAGTCGATCTTGTCGTCGAGGCTCTTGCACAACGACGCCTTGTGCGCGAGCTTCTCGCCCGTCCAACTTCGGAGGATGCGACGCATAACTAATTAGGTGGCAGGTGGGCATTGGAGCGGAGGGGTGAGGAGGTGGAGGAGGAGGAGGACACACATGAGGAGGATGGGGGGCACGCATGAGGAGGAGGGGGGGGGGGGGGGGGGGGGGGGAGGGGGGGTGCGAGCACATGAGGAGGAGGGGGGCACATACGAGGAGGAGGAGGAGGCGGAGGAGGAGAAGGGAGAAGAGGATGATGAGGAAACAAGAAGACACATGGGTTGGTCAATTTTGCCCACGGGCCACATGTCTTTGACATCCTTCCCCTTGAGGCCCTTCTGGATCACGGATGAAGTGGTGATGTCATCGGTATCTTCTTGGGAATCGCGGGGGCGTTTCGCGGCAGCAGCTGGTTTCTTCTTCAGGGAAATCTTCACCTTCAGGACAGATTTCATCACGTGTTTCATGCCCTTGGGTGCCATTGCCGCAGCACAGGAGACGTGTCCAGAGCTCAAAGGTGAGGCCGCGAATCTCTTGAACCCAAGGCTGCAATACAAATGCAATAAGTTGCTGGTCCGATTCTGCTTCAAACTGACACCGCGAGGTCACAAACATGGCATCGAACGCAACACAATTCTGTAAAATCGGGCAGTTGTACCAAACACAAAACACGACACGATATACCGTCATCCTGACGTTTGCCTGACGTTTTATAAACGTCAGGCAATTTGCCTGACGTTTGCCTGACGTTTGGCAAACGTCAGGCAATTTGCCTGACGTTTGCCAAACGTCAGGCAAACGTCAGGCTATGTACCTGACGGTTGCAAAACGTCAGGCAAACGTCAGGATTGTACACATCGCAATTGAAACAATGTGTTACACAAAACCTGTATCCTGTCATGGTATTTTTATCCTAAATCTCAAGTCAGACATTCGAGTGGTAGGCATTTGCTATGATTGTGACCCGTATTTCAAGCCTGTGAACCTCGAACGCCCTACGATTGCAATGACATTGACCAGCACTTCAAGCTCCGCGGCATGTTGCTGACACTCGGTAAAGATGCAATTACCAGTTGCCCAGCGCCAGCTGGTCCACCCCGTGGATTGGAGATGCAAGGGTAGCTTGGCCTAGAATTGTATATATTCACCGCGCAACTTGATTACACTGACTGCTCCTCGTCCTGAGCATCCTCCTTCTCGTCATCTCATCGCCATGTGCTCTGACACCTCATTATTCACCACCATCTGACATGACAGCCAATGCGACCTCAAAAACAGATCGAGTCATCAGGACCACCCCCCAAACCATGGTGTTCAAACCGCCCAAGGAACTCTGGCATTTAGAAACCGATTCCGGAAACTATTGAATCAGACAGGCAGGATGAGAGTTTGGGAACCATTCCTGCGAAACGACTCCGACACGATTTTGGAAAGTGCTCCTCCGATCAGGGCCCTACACACAGCCTCACATGCGACCAGGGGCCTGGCTGCCGAGTAACCAACTCATGTATCCTGGTTTCCCTCATACAGCGAAAACCCCTTTTAATTGCCACCATATGTTGCATGTGTGCCATCCTCATCTCACCTCTTTCCCCCTTCCCTCTACCGTCACCACCCTCGACCGTGCCATCCTCCTCCACCTCTCACGTCCGTGCCTCAGTCGTATCCCTCATACAATGCATAGCCGCCCCCCTTTGGACGGGCGCGGGGGGGGGGGTATGTGGAGCAGGGGGTTGGGTGGCTAAGATGCCCCCATCACGACCGAGGATGGTTGGCGGGCTTATTGCACGAACGGTGGGATGACGAGAATATGGATGGGAACTGCGAAACGATGTGGATGAGGATATGGAGGAGATGATGATGAGGAGATGGAGGGGAAAGGAGGGGCGCGACGGGGGAGATACGCGAATGCAACTTGCGGGGGGAGGTCGACGATCACTGCGTCAAGCGCATCTAAACATCAGCCGATTTTGACTAACACCCGCCAGCATGTCAATGTGCATTCGGCTCGGCGCCACACGCCGACGTCTGAAACCGTAACGCAGCGCACACGCACTGGCATTGCACCCGCGCTGCCTGCAAGACAGCGACCCCCCCGCAATGGCAGGGGGGACCCACAATATTCGAGAGGGGAGGGACATCTTAACTTTCAGAAATGAACGGGCGGGGCTGGTGACACCGACAATGGTTGAGGGTCACTTGAGGCGCCGTTGCCATCACCGCTTCCTGTCTTCGGTCGAACCCTGGCCCCCATCCTGTCGCGGATTGGGGCGCGGTTGCCGAAGACAGGTCGAGCACGTGCTGCGAGGCTGGCAACGGCGTTTCGAGCGTCCCTCGCGCGCGCCCATCTTGCAACCATCCTCCTCCGTTTGTTCCTGCTCATTCGGTTCACCATCCTATTCCTGCTCAACTTCCTCTTCTCACCATCCTCGACCTCGTCATCCTTATCATCCCCCCCTCCTGATGTCGCGCCTCACCTCTTCGAACCCCGCTTGAGAAGCGTCGAGCGATACTCGACGCACTCCTCCTTGGAACTGCTGTTCTCGGTAGCGAACTTCAGGATCTTCGCGCAGACGGACGCGTGGTCGCTCGACATGGACTCACCGATCTGGATGAGTAATTTGGGCTTGCCAGAACCTGAGTCCTTGTAAGTGATGTAAGATGCCTTGCTACCGTAGGTGACGTACATTGGGCCCAGAACATCGTGATCTCCCCGACGTGGCAGGCCATTCGGAGCTGATTTTTGGGAGGGCCCCTTGAGAAGCTTGCCAGAAGGTTTCGCAGCAGGCCTGCCCCTGAGAACTCCTGGAGACGGCTTGTCAGCGCTCGCAGCCTTGCCACGTTTGGTTGCAGCCTGGGGAAACGAAGACGTAGTTATATGCCCAGTGGTTCCAGAATCCAGCCCCGAGGCCTTGTCTAGACCCCTGACTCTGAATTGGCGGGGTTGGGTGGGCGAGGTTAGGAAACGGTGAGGTTCGAGATGCTTGTTCGACTGGGGGAATGAGACGGCGAGAGTGGCGGGTGGACATATTTATATCTATATATGTATATATAGAGCTAGGGAGACAGAGAGAGGGAGAAAGAGAAAGAGAGAGAGAGAGAGAGAGAGATATGGAGAGAGAGAGGGAGAGGGAGAGAGAGAGAGAGAGCGAAAGCAAGAAAGAAAGGGAGAGGGGGAGATGGAGAGTGTGATAGAGCGATAGAGAGAGAGAGAGAGAGAGAGAGAGAGAGAGAAGATACGGAGGACCGATGAGAAGGATGAGGAACCAGGAAACAACCAGGAAAATGGAAGGAGGAACGGGGAAGAAACCGACATGCGAGCAAGGTCGAACTCCCCTGCTCATCTTCGCCACACGAACACCAACACCGCCCGACCTGTGCATCCGTGCCGCTGTCTCAGGATGCACATGGCGTGGCGTGGCGTTGGTGGGCGAATTGTGGCGAACATGAGCGTGGGAATTCAATGCGTGATGATTATTGCCCGACTGCCTTAAGCTGGCGCTTCGAGGCAGGGACGACGTCAACCTTGCCCGCCTGCTCCAAAATGTCACCGTCGTCGTCGGAATCCTCGAGGCTCAACGGCGGGCGCTGGTCGGTGGGCGGCCGAGGCGTCTCGCGCGGCTTGGCGGGGTGCTCAGCGCACAACCAGCTCGCGAGATCCTTCGGCTATGTTTAGGGCGGGGTGGGCACGGGAGGGCGCGGTTTGCAAATCCCACCAGCCCTCTGGGCGTCGGTGGTCTAGAGAGTTCTCTCTTCTAACCCCTTCTCGTACCCTTCGGGGGGGGGTTTACCCCTCCCCCTACCCCTTCCCCTGGACCTGGACGGAGGGTTCCGCGGGCCGTTGGGGCGCCCACGATGGCCCAAGACGGATCCAGGAGCGAAGAGGCGGGAAATCAACAACACATGGCTGGCATCTTCTGGGGCCCAAGCGGCACTCTAGAGGGGCAGCGCTAATTCCCACCCCCCCACCCCCCCCCTTCTTTGATAGATCTCCTCAAACATGGCCCCGAGAGCGCCCCGAAGGCTCCCAC